AGGCCCTCTGCCCAAGCCTCTTCACTAACCTGCCCTGCTCCCCTGCAATAAGGCACCTCATGACGTAGAGGCACTGCTGGCTGGCACTCTGACTTCTGTTCTATAAGCTGGCTTTCATCTCAGCTAAGTCCCTCGTAGTATTACGTACTCTGTGTTCCTCAGTGTTAAGCCCTGGATTCAATGTCTCGTCTACCACAGGAGAGACTTGGTGAAGGTGCTAAGTTTTTGTGCCTCTCCTTGAGTTTGTGAGATCCCAGCCTGTAGAAGCCACGAGGAAGATGAAGAGACGCTTGCACAACAAACCAAGCAACGGGTGGGGTTTGAACCTCTGGTAAGAGTTCTAAAACTCTCAAATGTTGCACAAGAGTCATTCTTCAACTTGTCAGTTTTTCTAAAGCATTTACATCGTTCCACGAGGAGAGGTGATCAGTGGGAACAACCTTTACTATCAGAGCTAGGCCCGGTTGAAAAGCCAGAGGGGGAGAGGGAGGGAGAGGGGAGAGGGGAGAGAGAGAGAGGAGAGAGAGAGAGAGAGAGAGAGAGGAGAGAGAGAGAGAGAGAGAGGAGAGAGAAAGAGAGGAGAGAGAGAGATAGAGAGGAGAGAAGAGAAGAGAGAGAGAAGAGAGAGAGAGAGTGAGAAAGAGAGAGAGAGAGAGAAAGAGCGAGAGGAGAGAGAGAGAAGAAGAGAGAGAGAGAAGAGAAAGAGAGATGAGAGGAGAAGAGAGAGAGAGAGAGAAAGAGAGAGAGAGGAGAGAAAGAGAAGAGAGTGAGAGAGAGGAGAGAGAGAGAGAGAGGAGAGAGAGAGAGGAGAGAGAGAGAGAGAGAGAGAGAGAGAGAGAGAGAGAGAGAGAGAGAGAGAGAGAGAGAGAGGAGAGAGAGAGAGAGGAGAGAGAGAGAGAGAGAGGAGGAGAGAGAGAGGAGAGAGAGAGAGAGGAGAGAGAGAGAGAGAGAGAGGAGAGAGAGAGAGAGAGAGAGGAGAGAGAGAGAGAGAGAGAGAGAGAGAGGAGAGAGAGGAGAGATGAGAGAGAGAGGGAGAGAGAGAGAGAGAGAGAGAGAGTGAGAGAGAGAGAGAGAGAAACTCACAGGGTTTGAGAGTGAGGTTAGGTTCGGTAAGGTTTGTCAGGAAACAGGACAAGGGTTTCCTGACGAGGGTCTCAAGTCATATGATGACCCACCACTGGAGCTTTTGGTCATCAGACAAAGGCTTTCCGCTGGCTTACAGGTCCGCCCCTTTAAAAGTTCAAGTTGTAATTATAACCTACATTGGAATGAGAGTCAGTGGAGGAACTGAAGTGTCGACAGAGGGAGTGTGTCCTGACTATGCATTATCAGTGAGTTATGTGGCTTGGACTTCGGCGAATGTGCACAGACTTCAAGCATTACACAATTAACCCGCAAGTAGGAAACACGACGACATTTCTGCTCGACTTAGACCCAAACACCTTGAAAAATTTCAAGCCTCCAAAATGCGGTATATTCATGCCCTGTTCCAGTCACGGTACTCTGATTTATTCTTCACGATCTCCAAGCAATTTGCTTATACCCCAACGATATTTACGCGAGTAGCCAGGATAGCATCATCTATCATTCCGCCTTCTAGTGGAACTTCGCAACTATATCTTTGTGCATTTATAAAGCTTGCCTAAACGTAAATTTTTATATTCAATATATAAATCTAGAGAGCGTGAGGTCTGTATTGTACCAAGTTTGTGAGTAAAAGTCTGTAATCTACAACACTTTTCCCTCGTCTCTTTTACTCTTGCTTGTGTTTGTCAGTCTTACCTTGTATACCGGTAAAGAACCGGTTGTGGATGGTATGGTGATACCGAGAAACTCTGGAAGAAACTACTTACTAAAATTTATTAAAGTTGACGTTTCGCCACGTTAATTAAGACTGACGAAGCCACTCGTGGCTGCATCAGTCTGAACTACACACAAGTGTTCTTTTCCATACCTAAAAAATAAATACCTACTTAGAATAGCGGGGAGTAGTTAGGTACCCCGGGTGACTCACTGAGTTCATTGTAAGTATAATCCCCGCTACGGGGATTATACTTACAATGACCGAAAGGAATAAATATGTTTGAGTAGATTTTATACACCTCACTCTGGGAGGTATATAGTTGACTAAATTCTTGGATGGTATATATTGTTAGAGGTGGAGACTTACTCTCGGGATATTAAAAACAGCCGGTATTAGTGAAACCGTGCAAAGCAGTGTTTTCGAAACCAGGAATATACGCAGCCTTCCAGGGATAGACGTTTGCATCCACAGGTGGTCTCTCCCCCTTCCCCCTCCCCATAAACCCTCTCCCCTACCCCCTATTTCCTAGTTAACACCGTGGTACCAGCTTTCAGTCATTCATTAAATCCTATTCAGTGGTAACAAGCATATGAATGGACACGTACGACTGCGCTTGCGCACGCACGCCTTTCCCCTAACACGTACCAACACTGCTCTGCGGCCAGTTTGACCACAGACTGCTGTCAGTTTGACCACAGACTGCTGTCAGTTTGACCACAGACTGCCGTCAGTTTGACCACAGACTGCCGTCAGTTTGACCACAGACTGCCGTCAGTTTGACCACAGACTGCCGTCAGTTTGACCACAGACTGCCGTCAGTTTGACCACAGACTGCCGTCAGTTTGACCACAGACTGCCGTCAGTTTGACCACAGACTGCCGTCAGTTTGACCACAGACTGCCGTCAGTTTGACCACAGACTGCCGTCAGTTTGACCACAGACTGCCGTCAGTTTGACCACAGACTGCCGTCAGTTTGACCACAGACTGCCGTCAGTTTGACCACAGACTGCCGTCAGTTTGACCACAGACTGCCGTCAGTTTGACCACAGACTGCCGTCAGTTTGACCACAGACTGCCGTCAGTTTGACCACAGACTGCCGTCAGTTTGACCACAGACTGCCGTCAGTTTGACCACAGACTGCCGTCAGTTTGACCACAGACTGCCGTCAGTTTGACCACAGACTGCCGTCAGTTTGACCACAGACTGCCGTCAGTTTGACCACAGACTGCCGTCAGTTTGACCACAGACTGCCGTCAATCTGACCACAGACTGCCGTCAATCTGACCACAGACTGCTACTGCTGCCGCCGCCGCCACCACACACTACCACCACTGGTCTGCGTGCTGCTAGCACCAACAGCCTGAATGCTGAAACCATCAACCAGAGGTCTGGTCTGGAACGATGCTAGAGGACCTTAAATTACCACCTACACATCCTTATGTTCCCACCTGACCCCTTAAATTACAACTAGTAACTACAACAACCCGCGTACAGAACCTGACTGAAGGTTATCATATAACTTGGAGCTCCAGCCCACCAGTGTGATCTTGGCGGTGTTGTCCTGGTCACAAGAAGCAGGAAAATTTCTTGGGTGCTACTTCCGACTGGTTAGGTTGGATTACCAGTCAAACAACTAGGTAGTAATTTCACATCCTCTTAGCAGACATAAAAACAATAGCCACAGCTTCGTATCATTCTTCACAGTTTAAGTCAAAATAAGCACGAGTCTCTGCAGGAAAAGGAACACAAATTTAAGTTTATAAACACGGATAATGATCCAACAACAAGGAAAACCAGCTCATGAATTTTCTCCAAAGCTAAACTAGTCCTCAAGTAGTTGTACTAGTAGTAGTACTAGTAGTAGTACTAACAATAATAGGTTGTGCTTGCAATCACTGACTGCCACAAGTAACGCCTATACACAGAGGTCAAGTTTTTCCTTAATGTGAGAGACACTGACCAAACTTATAGTTTAAACTGACATTATTCTATTACGTACAGCCACAGAGGATGAAGTCTGTCTACTGATCCATCCTAAAAATTATGTCGTCGTCTCAGTAAACACCTAAACAACATACTCTGTCTTATCCGCTATCCACACAATCATTAAAAATCTATACTGGGAAATTTTTGAAGTACTGGTATTGTTCTCATTTAAAATTAAGTACTTTTTAAAGACACTTTTCATTTATGTTAATGTAAAAATTAATAATTTTGTACCAAAAGAACCTTAGAAAACTTACCTAACCTTATAACAAGCTCAATTTAATTTAGCCTAATCCAACTAAATATATTTCAGATAAGTTTACAATAATTTAATTATCATAATAAAAAAGGAGGAGCTAAACACAAGAATTTAATAATAAACAAACACAATGAAATATATTTTTTTGGTTAGGTTCAGAATGATTTTTGCAAAATTACTGAATACACAAGTTTTCGCTAGCCTTATTCGGCAAGAAGTGCGTTGCTATTTGAGCTATAATCGTAAGTTTTACCTATTCGGCAAGGTGAGTGTCTGGTTCCTAAGTTACAGCTTGAACTTACAAACGTGAAAGATACACGAGTTTAAAATTTGTTATATTATCTTTGTGTTTTAAACTGGTCAACAAACCTCTTTATTCTGTATTATCTTCTGGAGTCTCTGTTTGATCTTCAAGTTTATTGAAAACTAGGACACACAAGTTCGTTTTTCTTAACAAACTCAAAAATTTGTTAGGGTTTTAAGATTTACAACTCAATAGAACTTGCTATGTACAAACATAGCAAAACACACACAGACACACGCACACAAGTTCCATAAATAGCTTTAAGAAGAGGTATGACAAATATCATGGAGCAGGGAGAATGAGAATTAGTATCGACCAGTGAAGAGGCGGGGCCAGGAGCTATAAATCGACCCCTGCAACCACATATAGGTGAGTACATATAGGCGAGTACACACACACACACACACACACACACACACACACACCACACACACACACACACACACACACACACACACACACACACACACAAAATACAAACTGCATAGAAGAGAGGGAAAGAGTGGGAGTGGAAATCGAATGAATGGGATGGGAAGGAAGGGGAGGAAAAGGGAAAGAGGGTGAAGTAAAAGGTATAAAGAGAGAGAGAGAGAGAGAGAGAGAGAGAGAGAGGTGAAAGTGACCACTAAGACAAACACAACTCACCCGCACTCTCGCTCAGTGAAGATGATGTAGTTGGGATGTTCCTCAGTCTTCTCCACGAAGCGGATGCAAGTGTAGTTCTCCCAGTGTCTCATAGCTTGCTTGAACAAACCCTTGTCGGCGCCCGTAAAGTTCGAGTCAATCTTGTAGGGGATCACACCGAAGTCCCACACCCGCTCCTGTTGAAGGGTTAAGGTATCACTTACATTACTAGTATTTATATGCATAACTATTATTTGCATTAGGTATTACCATTTTATTACACTGATTAGCAAAAAAAATTTGTCAGATATTTGAAGATAATTGTAGTATTTTGGGGTTACTGAATTCAAAAATATCTGTGGGTTTTTCAAATTGGCTCTAGATAGTGAGATATTGCGTACCTACCCTCAGTTAACAGGGAACTTAAACAACGTGTATATGAGTATGTGGTAACAATTTCTATATACTGTTTTTGTAGTTTTAATAAGGATTATAATGTTATTTTTTAAGTTATTTAATAATTTAAGTATAGGAGTTGTATCAATAACGACCACGTGACATTATTGTAACGTTTATTTTATTTTTCTCCGTAAGAACATGAGTTCTTCACGAACAGCTTGCTTGATCAATCCCAATGTATTTTGCTACATTTGTGGCAAATATTCTTTGCAAGAAGAAAAAAAAAACTCAGATTCTGTAAAACTTATCGTGCTGATTTTGGAGTGTTGCTTGGAGAACAAGACAAGTCTTGGGGTCCACATATGGTTTGCAAAACCTATATAGAATGCTTACGACAGTGGAAAAACAATGCTTACGACAGTGGAAAAACAATGCTTACGACAGTGGAAAAACAATGCTTACGACAGTGGAAAAACAATGCTTACGACAGTGGAAAAACAATGCTTACGACAGTGGAAAAACAATGCTTACGACAGTGGAAAAACAATGCTTACGACAGTGGAAAAACAATGCTTACGACAGTGGAAAAACAATGCTTACGACAGTGGAAAAACAATGCTTACGACAGTGGAAAAACAATGCTTACGACAGTGGAAAAACAATGCTTACGACAGTGGAAAAACAATGCTTACGACAGTGGAAAAACAATGCTTACGACAGTGGAAAAACAATGCTTACGACAGTGGAAAAACAATAAAAGTTTAAACTTGGGTGTGCCTATGGTGTGGAGAGCCGAAAAAACCAACACGACTATTATTTCTGTATGGTGACAGAGAGGTTTCAGTCGATACAATAGTCAAGTGGGAATATCCGAGTTGGTGTCAGCAAGGATGACTCTGCCACACAGTGAAGACGTTACCATACCAGTGTTTACAACACTGAATGACCTTCCAGTGTCAGATGTTGAAGAAACTCAGGGTTTAGGGTGTAACACAGGTGACACCAGTGGTAGTGAAGGTGAAGGAACCATTACAACACCCAAACAGTTATTCCAAGAATGACTTAATCTGCGATGAGACCTCAGTCTGTCAAAGCAAGCATGTGAACTTTTAGCATCTATACTATAAGAAAAATACTGTCTACATCAAGTTAAAATAAGAGCTTATCAAGATGAAGAACTTGTATACTGTATACTCGTATACTGTATACTTGTATACTGTGTACTTGTATACTGCAATAACATCTCTGGACTTTAATATCGACCAGGAGATTGACGGCTTTTTATAAGCAGCTCCAATAGAAGTCTGGAATGTGTGTTACAGCACAATGGTGACCAATGTGTGTTACAGCACAATGGTGACCAATGTGTGTTACAGCACAATGGTGACCAATGTGTGTTACAGCACAATGGTGACCAATGTGTGTTACTGCACAATGGTGACCAATGTGTGTTACAGCACAATGGTGACCAATGTGTGTTACAGCACAATGGTGACCAATGTGTGTTACAGCACAATGGTGACCAATGTGTGTTACAGCACAATGGTGACCAATGTGTGTTACTGCACAATGGTGACCAATGTGTGTTACAGCACAATGGTGACCAATGTGTGTTACAGCACAATGGTGACCAATGTGTGTTACAGCACAATGGTGACCAATGTGTGTTACAGCACAATGGTGACCAATGTGTGTTACAGCACAATGGTGACCAATGTGTGTTACAGCACAATGGTGACCAATGTGTGTTACAGCACAATGGTGACCAATGTGTGTTACAGCACAATGGTGACCAATGTGTGTTACAGCACAATGGTGACCAATGTGTGTTACAGCACAATGGTGACCAATGTGTGTTACAGCACAATGGTGACCAATGTGTGTTACAGCACAATGGTGACCAATGTGTGTTACTGCACAATGGTGACCAATGTGTGTTACAGCACAATGGTGACCAATGTGTGTTACTGCACAATGGTGACCAATGTGTGTTACAGCACAATGGTGACCAATGTGTGTTACTGCCAATGGTGACCAATGTGTGTTACTGCACAATGGTGACCAATGTGTGTTACAGCACAATGGTGACCAATGTGTGTTACTGCACAATGGTGACCAATGTGTGTTACAGCACAATGGTGACCAATGTGTGTTACAGCACAATGGTGACCAATGTGTGTTACTGCACAATGGTGACCAATGTGTGTTACTGCACAATGGTGACCAATGTGTGTTACTGCACAATGGTGACCAATGTGTGTTACAGCACAATGGTGACCAATGTGTGTTACTGCACAATGGTGACCAATGTGTGTTACAGCACAATGGTGACCAATGTGTGTTACAGCACAATGGTGACCAATGTGTGTTACTGCACAATGGTGACCAATGTGTGTTACAGCACAATGGTGACCAATGTGTGTTACTGCACAATGGTGACCAATGTGTGTTACAGCACAATGGTGACCAATGTGTGTTACAGCACAATGGTGACCAGTGTTACTGCACAATGGTGACCAATGTGTGTTTCAGCACAATGGTGACCAGTGTTACTGCACAATGGTGACCAATGTGTGTTTCAGCACAATGGTGACCAATGTGTGTTTCAGCACAATGGTGACCAATGTGTGTTTCAGCACAATGGTGACCAATGTGTGTTACAGCACAATGGTGACCAATGTGTGTTACAGCACAATGGTGACCAATGTGTGTTACAGCACAATGGTGACCAATGTGTGTTTCAGCACAATGGTGACCAGTGTTACTGCACAATGGTGACCAATGTGTGTTTCAGCACAATGGTGACCAATGTGTGTTACAGCACAATGGTGACCAATGTGTGTTTCAGCACAATGGTGACCAATGTGTGTTTCAGCACAATGGTGACCAATGTGTGTTACAGCACAATGGTGACCAATGTGTGTTACAGCACAATGGTGACCAATGTGTGTTACAGCACAATGGTGACCAATGTGTGTTACAGCACAATGGTGACCAGTGTTACTGCACAATGGTGACCAATGTGTGTTTCAGCACAATGGTGACCAGTGTTACTGCACAATGGTGACCAATGTGTGTTTCAGCACAATGGTGACCAATGTGTGTTTCAGCACAATGGTGACCAATGTGTGTTTCAGCACAATGGTGACCAATGTGTGTTTCAGCACAATGGTGACCAATGTGTGTTTCAGCACAATGGTGACCAATGTGTGTTTCAGCACAATGGTGACCAATGTGTGTTACAGCACAATGGTGACCAATGTGTGTTACAGCACAATGGTGACCAATGTGTGTTACAGCACAATGGTGACCAATGTGTGTTTCAGCACAATGGTGACCAGTGTTACTGCACAATGGTGACCAATGTGTGTTTCAGCACAATGGTGACCAATGTGTGTTACAGCACAATGGTGACCAATGTGTGTTTCAGCACAATGGTGACCAATGTGTGTTTCAGCACAATGGTGACCAATGTGTGTTTCAGCACAATGGTGACCAGTGTTACTGCACAATGGTGACCAATGTGTGTTTCAGCACAATGGTGACCAATGTGTGTTTCAGCACAATGGTGACCAATGTGTGTTACAGCACAATGGTGACCAATGTGTGTTACTGCACAATGGTGACCAATGTGTGTTACTGCACAATGGTGACCAATGTGTGTTACTGCACAATGGTGACCAATGTGTGTTACTGCACAATGGTGACCAATGTCTGTTACAGCACAATGGTGACCAATGTCTGTTACAGCACAATGGTGACCAATGTCTGTTACAGCACAATGGTGACCAATGTCTGTTACAGCACAATGGTGACCAATGTCTGTTACAGCACAATGGTGACCAATGCGTGTTACAGCACAATGGTGACCAATGTCTGTTACAGCACAATGGTGACCAATGCGTGTTACAGCACAATGGTGACCAATGTGTGTTACAGCACAATGGTGACCAATGTGTGTTACAGCACAATGGTGACCAATGTGTGTTGCAGCACAATGGTGACCAATGTGTGTTGCAGTACAATGGTGACCAATGTGTGTTGCAGCACAATGGTGACCAATGTGTGTTGCAGCACAATGGTGACCAATGTGTGTTGCAGCACAATGGTGACCAATGTGTGTTGCAGCACAATGGTGACCAATGTGTGTTGCAGCACAATGGTGACCAATGTGTGTTGCAGCACAATGGTGACCAATGTGTGTTGCAGCACAATGGTGACCAATGTGTGTTGCAGCACAATGGTGACCAATGTGTGTTGCAGCACAATGGTGACCAATGTGTGTTGCAGCACAATGGTGACCAATGTGTGTTGCAGCACAATGGTGACCAATGTGTGTTGCAGCACAATGGTGACCAATGTGTGTTGCAGCACAATGGTGACCAATGTGTGTTGCAGCACAATGGTGACCAATGTGTGTTGCAGCACAATGGTGACCAATGTGTGTTGCAGCACAATGGTGACCAATGTGTGTTGCAGCACAATGGTGACCAATGTGTGTTGCAGCACAATGGTGACCAATGTGTGTTGCAGCACAATGGTGACCAATGTGTGTTGCAGCACAATGGTGACCAATGTGTGTTGCAGCACAATGGTGACCAATGTGTGTTGCAGCACAATGGTGACCAATGTGTGTTGCAGCACAATGGTGACCAATGTGTGTTGCAGCACAATGGTGACCAATGTGTGTTGCAGCACAATGGTGACCAATGTGTGTTGCAGCACAATGGTGACCAATGTGTGTTGCAGCACAATGGTGACCAATGTGTGTTGCAGCACAATGGTGACCAATGTGTGT